TTGTATGTCCATTGGCATGAGTTCCATATACCCCTTCATGCACTTCTTCAAGAATTATTATTGGTTTTTTGGTATCTACACACTTTAATAGGACTTGATCCAGACCCTTTTTATATAAGATTTTACCATTGATTACATATCCTGACGTCATTCTTCTAATGGTTCTTTTATCATTATCGGTTGCTTGTTTAGGATAACTCTGATATCTGATGTATTGCAATATATCATAGTACCAGGGTTTCACCTCTTCTTCTTCATCAATACTAAAACAATGATCTAGATATTCATAGGCCTTCATTTCAATAGGCATCATGCTTGAATACTCATCTACCTTAAATGCGACTGCCAAAGTTGCCAAGGCATCTGCCATTTGGTTTTATTCTCTGGGGAGATAATTGAAAATTACCTTTTAAATTCCTTAATGAGTTCCATAACCAATTTATGGTATTCTACAAGCTTGAAATCTTTTGTCTCCCATTCTCATCTAATTTGGTAAATTACTAGAGCTGAATCCCCATATACCTTGAGCATTTTTACTTTACGTTCAATGGCAGATCTAAGACCTAAAGCACATGCCTCATACTCAACCATATTATTTGTGCAGTCAAAATTAAGTCAGCTGGTAAACAGATAATGTTCTCTATCAAGTGATACCAAGATTGCCCCAATTCCATGCCCCAAAGCATTCGAAGAGCCATCAAAAATCAACTTTAATATTCACTGGTGGATGTAACTGATTATTCCACAGAGATTTCCATTAAATTTTCGTTTGGAAAATCAAAATTTATCGGCTTATATTCTTGAGAAGTTCTACTTACTATAAATTTAGCTATTACATTCCCTTTTATTGCTTTTTGACTGACATATTGGATGTCAATTTTTGATAAACAGAATCTGCCTACGAGCTAACCTTCTGGATAATGCGGGTACATCCATTAGATACATCAAAGGATCAAATATGGATATAAGCCATGTAGTGTGATATAACATGTACTGTCTAAGTCTTTGAGTGGTCCATAGCAGAGCGTAACACAATTTTTCAATCAAAGAATATCTAGTTTCACATTCAGTGAACTTCTTACTGAAATAGTAAATAGCTCTCTCTTTTTTCTTAGTTTGATCATGCTGTCGTAATACACACCCCATTGAATTTTCCCAGACTGATAAATAAAGAATTAAGGGTTTTCCTGGGATGGGTGGTACCAGGATTGGAGTACTTGACAGATATTTCTTAATTTTCTCAAAAGCTTCTTGACATTCTTCATTCGTACCCCAGATTTACTATTTCTAAGAAAGCGAAAAATATGATCACATTTCTTAGTTAGTTGCGAAATAAATCGAGCTATATAAATCAGTCTCCCCAAAAATCCTCGAACCTCTTTTTGTGTTTGTAGTGATGGCAAATCTTGAATAGCTCTGAATTTATCTAGATCTATTTCAATTCCTTTTTGGCTTACCAAAAATCCCAAAGGCTTGCCAGATGTTACTCCAAATGTGCACTTATTTGGGTTAAGCTTTAACTGACATTTCCTTAATCTTTGGAAAAACTTCCTCAAATTCTTAACATGTCCATCTTCTTACTTGGCTTTGAGAATCATATCATCGACATAAACTTCTATTTCTTTATGCACCATGTTGTGAAATAATGTTACCATGGCCCTTTGATATGTTGCCCCTGTATTGTTTAGACCAATCGACATTACTTTATAATAAAACGTTCCCCATATGGTGACAAACATTTTTTTTCATATCATCAAGGTGCATTCTGATTTGATTATAGTCAGAGAAACCATCATAAATGAGAATAAAGAATTCTTAGCAGTATTGTCTACCAATGTGTCTATGTGTGGTCAAGGAAAATTATCCTTCGGACTGGCTCTATTGAGATCTCTGTAGTCAACACACATTTGGACCTTTCCATCTTTTTTGATACAGGGACAATATTTGATACTCATTCAGGGTACTTGGCTACTTTAATAAACCCGACATCGAATTGCTTTTTTACTTCTTCCTTGACTTTAAGTAACATTTCGGGTTTCATTCTTCTCAACTTTTGCTGCACAGGTTTACATTCTAGCTTTATTGGTAGCTTATGTACTATCAATTTTGTATCTAATCCTTGCATGTTATCATATGTCCAAGCAAATAAATCATTTTATTCTTGCAACAACTCAATCAAACTCTGTCATCCTTTATCAGATAAGGTAGTGCCAATTTTTACCTTCTTCTTGTCATATAAGACCCCAAATATAAGATCTCAATAGGTTCTAATGAGGTAGAATTTTCTTATCCTCCTTTTCTACCATTTTTAACAACTTGGGAGGTAAGTCACATTCCTCATTATTATCATAACTCTCAACTTCCTCAGGACACATGGCTGCTCGAAGTCAATTTCCAGGTCAGTATCACTAGCATTCATGTTATTGATATTTAAGTTCCTAAAAAGAAAATGAACAAGAGTATATACATATAATCATAAAAATGTACTTAAAAATGATTGACATTTGGAACTAATGCATATTTTATTGAAAAAGAGAAACACATAGTTTAACCCTTTACACAAAATCAAACTATTACCCCAGGGTATAAGCAACAGTGAAAGTTCTGGTGTATTACTCTGAAAAATATTTGAAAACTACATGTAATTCTTATACAATCCAATTATTTAACTCAAAGTTTGATGGTGTGGGGTAAATGCCCATATCTTTCTTTTCTACAGATTCATCATTTGATATGAATATGATACTCATTTTTTTCAAAGCATTCTCAACAATCAACTCTTTGTTTTGCTAATCCTATTGGAAAATGTATCCTCCATATACAAAAGTATTACCTAATGGTGGAAAAGTCATTGGTTCCCATATGAGATCCTCTCCAGCTGATATGGCCTTCCTCAGTTCTTGATTCATTCTAATACCCCCTTTGTTTCTCCTTTACAGTCGGTTGGTATCCCAAACCAAATCGATCTTTCTTAGAGATAGGAAAATTGGATTAATTGGTCCTTGCAAATAACTTCCTAATCCTTTTCCAACTTTTTCTCCTTTTCTTAGGGTCATTCTGAGCCCTATTTTAGTACAATTTTAAATTTTGGGTTTGGGCATCTTTTTGCCTTCGGCCACAAATATAGCGTTAACAAATTCCAATGATCTAAAAGAGCACTCAATAGCTTTTTCCTCTAATTCAACATATAGAGCATTGGTAGAGACTGGAGTAATGATGTCTTGTTCAGCATTAAGACATATCAGCTTGCCATCTATTACAAAATTTTAACTTTTGGTGTAGTGTAGATGGAACTACCCCTGCTTGGTGAATCTAAGGCCTTCATGGTAAGCAATTATAAGTGGGTATAATATCCATTACAAGGAATTTCACTTCATATGTAGCTGGACCAATAGTTAAAGGAATGTCTATTTTCCCAATACCTCTTTCTTGGTTCCATCAAAAGCTCGGACAATATTCTGACTATTTCTTATGAGTGTACTTCGACTGGTAATTTCTTCAGAGTCAATAATGGCATTACGTTCATAACTGAGCCATTATCAATTAATACAAGAGATAGAATATGTCTTTTGCACTTAAACGTGATGTGCAGGGCTTTAGGGCTACCACTCATCTCAGAAGGGATTTCATTTTCAGAAAAAGAAAGGAAATTGTCAGCCTGTATGTTTGCAATCAGCATATTCAATTTGCTTACAAGCAATTCCTTTGGCACAAAAGTTTGATTTAATACTTTCAGTAAGGTATTTTGATATGCTTCTGAGCTTAATAAAAGTGCTAAGGCTGATATACGAGCTGGCAATTTGTGTAACTGTTTAACAAATTGTATTAACTGTGTTTGAGAAACTTCAAGAGTTCTACAACTTCATTTTCAGTTATTGGTTCATTGATGACAATTTCATATTCTTTCAGTTGTAATTCAACATTCTTTCCTTTATTGACTGTAGCTTGCTTTTCAGGCTCCTTAGAATAACACCTTCCACTTCTGGCAAAATGTCCAACCTCATTTACCTCTTTATTTTCTCCCATTGTTTCCTTTATTTTGCAGTTATAATTCCACGACACTGTCTTTTATCTTTATACGTGAACGAGGATGGGGAAGTGATAACAACCTTTGGAGCTATTTTATATGATAGACGGTCCTTGGTGTAATAAGTAGAGGATAATTAGAGTTGTAGACCTCTCTAGATGATCCTTTTGAGGCACAAATATCTATTTCATCTTTTTCTGGTACTTCCTTGAAAAATTCCATTTCCTTGTTATCCATCATCCTTTGTACCAAAGCTCTAAAATCTAGACATTGTTGTATAACGTGTCCTTCTTAGCAATGGTAATGACATACATTTCCAATGTCTGATTGTTCTGTTAATAAATTAGGCTCCAATAGATAAACTTTGATCATTTGAACCCATACCCAAAACATAGGTGATTTCACCTCACTGACTTGCCTTATAATCTACTTTCCTTTTTCCTCTACAACTGTATTGATTCCCGCTCCTACAAGGTTTGGCAATGGGTTATGAGCCACATTCGATTGCTCATTATCACCAAAATGTATGATATTCTTTGTTCTAAGCCTTTGGATGATTCTTTTTAATGTAATGCAATTTTTAATAGAATATCTACGAGTACCTACATGATATTCGCATTGCAAACTATCATCGTACCACTTAGGATATGGAGGTTGTACAGGTGACACGTGATAAGGTGAAACTAGATGTTTGTCATATAATATCTGAAATAACTCTTTGTATGTCATAGAAATTGGGTCAAACTGGAGCTTTTCTCTTTCTTGTCTTGGTTCTCTTGCCCCTTGCTTGGCAGAGTTTTGTGTAGAGGATCCAATAACCTGAGGTCGAGATACTGTGATATTGTTTGATTCATATTTTCTCACATCATTTACCTCACTTTCCTTCTTTTTCATTAACATTTTTTTGCTAGATTCACCAATTTCAAGTTTCCCACTTTTAACCGCCATTTTAATCATCTCACCTGCTGTGACTATGTCAGTGAAGCTTTTAAAAGAATTCCCTATAAGGTAAGTAAAGAAATGAGCTTTTAAGGTGTTTACAAAGAGTACATTTGTTTCTTCTTCTTCTTGCATGGGTGGATACACCTGTACAGCTATGTCCCTCCATCTCTGGCATAATGCCTGAAACTTTCATTGAATTTTTTTCCATGTTTTGTAGCACCATTCGATTAGGTCTTATATCCTTCACATGCTTATATTGTTCCAAAAAAGATTTATCCAAATCTTTCCAAGACTTAATATGAGCTCTACTTAACTGGTTGTACCATCGAATGGTCGAGCCTGTTAAGCTTTCTTGGAAACAATGAATTAGCAGTTGATCAATCTCTATATAACTCGTCATTTTTCTGTAAAACATTGTGATATGGGTAGAAGGACATTTCATGCCATCAAATTTTCAAAATCTAGAATCTTGAACTTAGGTGGTAATACCAAATCAGACACCAAACTCAATTCTTTTGCTTCAATTCCATATACGCTAGAGCCCTCTTTCATGACCCTAACTTCTTCTATTAGTTGTTCAAATTGTTTATTTGATTCTTTCTTTTATTCTTGATCAAAATCCGGAACATTTTCAACTTGTTGTTGGCTTATTGAAGCACTAGGTAAGTTTATTTTTACTCTTCCTGATTGAGTAATATCATCTGACTGGGTCCTAACATGAGATGTTGCAAGGTCTGGGGGTATATGGGTCCTCAGTTACTTGAGCTTTTTGACGATCTACTTTTGGTGTAAAGCCTAGAGGGTACAAAGGTTCTTCAATGATAGTACTAACAACTGGGGTATTTACTTGGTTCATTGTTCTCCTTTGTAGAATACTTGCAAATCTTTCCATCATGTCATTCTGTGATTTCAACATTTTTTCATACATCTCTTCCTGGGCCTTCTTAAAATTTTCTTGCATCTCGAGTCTTTTCAATTTGAGCGATTTTATTATCCATTACCCTTTCTCTGGTATTGTATGGATGCTTAGAGGTTTCCAGTATTCTTCAAAAAAGAAAAAACCCCTTTTAATAAAAATGGATGTTTTATTAACGAATATGCTCAAAAAATATAACAAAAATGCTTATGAAAAAATATGCAAGATGCAAGGTGTTGATATTGGAATGATTCCTTTATAACAACTTTTATACTAAAACAAAGTTTTATTATAAAGCTTTTAAACATAGTACAAATACAACATCACAGATACATCTGAGCAATTTCTCCTAATTGCTATATATGCTCAAGTAACTCAAAGACCTTATGAGCTTCTTCGGTTTCTGGCTCTAATCCTTTACTTAAAGTGGTAGCCTCATATGCTAAATCAACCAAGTATTGTGCCACTCCCTGAGCTTGCTCCAAATATTTTGCAATAAGATTCTCTTTGTTTGACTTTCCATTGGGCACGTTCCCAACGATAACGCCATTGCAAAATTCCTTAATAAGGGACGATAAGGAGTTGAGTTTGCTTTCCCGCAACCATTGCTCTAATGTCTCCTTTTCTTTGAAAAGTATCTTGGCATGATGTTTATTTTGTTTAAGCTCTTTTTTCTTTCTTCAGCCTTTCTTTTTAAACCTACCAATTTTGCTTGAACCTTTTACAATCTGAGTCCTTACCATCTGCTGATAAGATGTCTGGAGATCATTAAAATCTAGTATGAGCTATTTTTCAACTTTGCTAACTTGATATGCTCTTCCTTTATGGATGTCTATCTCAATTCCCTTATGGTATACTTTATCTTCCATTTTTTACAGAGTTCTTCTCCATTGTTTCCTTTCAATCTCAAATTCCTATCTTGCTAACTCTAATGGAGATGGTATAAATCTTAAATGTTCTTGGATAGGTAGAACATTCTTAAGATTAACCATTGGGAGGTTGTCGTTAACTCGGTTGATTCTCCATTGCTCATATTCTTGTGAAAGCTTCTGACTGAAAGTGAATAAATTTACTCGATGAATCACTTTCCAAGCATCAGCGATTCTTCTGACTTTATCCTTGTACTGATCACTTCTAAATGTAACTATGATTTAGACAAACCCGATGTTGTAGGAATAAACTGCCTCGGTCCATATTGTCTGGAAACCATCAAAAGTGCATATCCTACTAAACCCCAAATGACAGGCAAAGGAACCCAATCATATTCTCCACATTTATACAGTATATTTGAAGAAAATTTCCAGGAGGCACGCCATAATATGTCATTGTCTTTGAGATTTTTGAAGATATTCTTCCATTTTTCTTCATCATAATTTCTGGGCCATTCTTGAGAAAGGAAATATTGCAGGGGTGAAAAATCTTCCAGAAATACTCGGCCAGGTGCTCTTTCCTGTGCTTAAGATGATTAAGAATCCCTACCAACAAGAAAGGTGCACAGCCTATAAAACGTCCCTCTCCTTCATGTCTGCAGGAATTTATAGAACGAAATGTTTTAGCTAAAATAGCTGGTACTTGTAACACCCATAACCCGTATAATTATACATATACAGATTATAGATGTTATCCAAATTTGTAAAACCATTATGATATTCAAAAGCAATTTAAAATTTATATTCTTAAAATGGTAAATGATATTATAAATAAAATTTCATATTATATAAATCATGTTTGTTGTAACCAATTTAATTCGAAATTTTTTTTTAAATAGTGAACAGTACCCGTGAACAGTGGGGGAATCGGTTCCTCTATGGGGGAATCGGTTCCCCTTTTGCATACTGGAAAATTTTTGCCAATTCGTGGTTATTGTTCATTGCTCCAGTAAAACATATAAATTCCATTTTGTTTCCAATTTTTTTCAACAAAACAAATAAAACATAATAATTACACGCCACTAATTAAGTCTATATTACATCTTAGGATGTCTTACTGATATAGAAATATACTTCTTGATGATTGATTTCGCTTTGTACTCCTTATTCCACTACTGGCTTTTTACCTACGCGTGAAAATCATCACACGCTAAGTATATACTTAGTGAGGCAATTATAACAATAATAGTGCAATGTAACTCATGCATGAATTTCATAAAAAAAACAAATACCTTAAAATCATATTATCAACATATCCAATATTTTACCATGATAAAAAATAATATAATTGAGTATAAAATTCCTTACCAATATACTTGCCATGATTTTCTTAAGCAAGTAAACTTAATTTTATGCTTACCATTTATTAACCAATAATTTATAAAACCATAGAAAATAGCCCATTTTAAAACCCTGAGGACCCTGGGTATTCGAGTAAAATACATGCACCGTAGTGCTAAACCTGCACTAAGCTTACGCCATAGTGTTAATCCGGATATGACACATAAGGTCGTGCCCACCACCTATACTAAGCTTACGCTATAGTACTAATCCGGATATGATACATTAGGTCGTATCCACCTTACCGCACTTAGTGCCCTTTCGCACTATAATGTTATTATAAACCTGCAGCTGCTATACTCTATGGCATGCCAACTATACCCTGTCCCTCAATGACTTACTTGGGCATATAATCTATTTCATTCGATTCATCCATGGCAAAGTATATTATCAATATTTAACATTGGGCAGTTCATACCCAAAAAACATTCATGGTAGAATATCATAATTTCCATAATCAATGCATTATATTTTTCAACCTTTGACATATTTAGAATATATCAAATATATGATAAATGACGTATATCATGATGATATAAATAAGGTCGACTTATCGCAAGTCTTCCTGATGATGTATACAACATTCATGTATAATTCATGCATGTATTGCACTCACCCTGACACTTTATATAGTCCACACTATGATCCTCACTAATTGTCCACAATATCTCTTTTATACTTGATTTGCTTCAATCACACTTAAATCAAAATCTGTATAAAATCACAAATTCATAACAATACTTATGTTAGTATTATACTAACATAAACACATCCATAACAATTCCATATTATACTTGGAACTCATTTTCTACCAAGTATTTAACACTTAATAATTCCTTATACTATTATATTATAGATTAGATAAAATTTTATAGTTTCATAGAAAATAGATAAAATACATATACTATTATAGTATTATAAAGTGAATTGCTCTCTTATACAAAATTTATATAATAATAAATAAACATATAATTATAATACTCAATGTTAATATAAAAATTTAATTTAAAATTAATGACGTCAATTTTAGATATGAGAAAAATTCAATTTAAATTTAAATTAATTTAATTTTAAAATAATGTTAATGAATAATTTTATTAATTTAAATTTAAGTAACTAATTTTAAGCATAACTATTACGATATTATTAATCATATATATTTATAATTCAGTTTTAAGAATTAAATTAGAACAATTCATCTATGTAATTTTATATTTCAAATAATTTAAAGTTAGTTGCGACGTTGCGGTGCAATTTATAGCGCGTTGCGGTATTACGTAACGGTTTTTGACCGCAACAATCGTGATGTGATTACCTTATCGCGTTGCGCCGATATTACGTCACAGTAACCTTCAAAAACGATACGATGCGGGCGTTACGCTGCAGCCGCAATTTAGTACTATGATGGGACGACGTTGTTCCTGCTTCCCAAAATGCCAGCTTCTTCTCCACTGATCTCTCCACTTGGCTGCTTGGTAACCTTGCAATCACAACTATCTCCCCAGGCTTAGAGATTCCTTCGTCTCCTCTCTTTGCTTCAGTCCTTCGGCAGGTTTGGAAGAATCGTAATGACGAAACCTTCAATGGAATTGTGCAGTCTCCTTCCTCTGTCTTCCAACGTGCTTACAGCTGGGCATGCTGCTTTGAATCAAGATCAGAGAAAGTGCATGGGGTGTCTTCTGCCAGCTCACATAGCAATGGTACTTGGATTAAACCGCCTAAAGGTTGGGTCTGTTTAAACTGCGATGGCAGTGTTCAACCCTGGACGGGGTTAGGATCTGCTGGTGGTGTTTTACGCGACTCTAATGGTCATTAGATCACCGGTTATGCCAAAAATCTGGGCCTCTCTTTTGTCCTTCAGGCGGAATTATGGGATTTATATGAAGGGCTTAGACTCGCGTGGAATCATGGTGTTGCCAACCTTGAAGTTCAATCTGATAACTCTCAAGCCGTGAAGCTCATCAACTCATCTGATGCTGCAGTCGGCTCCCTCTCACTGATCCGAGCTATCGCCTCCCTGCGTAATCGCCAATGGGAGACCCGTGTTCGCTGGATTCCACGATCTAAAAATTGTGTTGCTGATAGTCTCTCCAAAATGGCTCCTTTCGGTCTGTCTGATGCCACCTACTTCGAGACACCTACAAGCGGCGTTGCTCATCTGGTGGAACGCGAAGCTCATTGATCAACTCCAGTAGCTTAGTCTTTAAAGCTTCTTTCAATTAAAAATAAAATAAAATTGTCTAACAATTGCATCAAGTCTAAATTTTAAATTAATCCGAATAAATACTTCAATCGAACCCTTTTACTGCTTGTTCTTTAATATCTTTTTAGATACAAATCTTAAGTCAACATTTGAACCAATGAGTTTAAAAATATAATATTGTTGATTTCTTAGATCAAATTATATAATATATAAATATTAAAAATTATTTTTATTATTATATTAATTAAAATCATATATAATCGTTTAAAAATATCATGTTATGTTAAATCATATATAATCATTTAAGCTTAATGGTATGGAGAAGACCGACTAATGTTGAACTCATTAAATGATCTTAGTAGTTAAACAAAAGTATTGTTCTCCTTTAAGATTATAAGTTTGAGTAGTTGCGAGGATTTGTATTCGTTATCAATAGATAAAAATTCTTATAAATAAATACTACCTTTAATGACCTCATACTACTAAAAACAATACTATGTATTATCCTCCCGCCTATGTCGAAATTTATCAATTTCTTTTATAATTTATGATAAAAAAAATTAATAATTAATTGAAAATAAAATATTCAGATAATATTTTTTATTTTTTTGGAATTTAAATTCTCTATTAAAATATATTTTTAACATTTATTTTATTAAAAATTGTTATATAATCAGGATCTGACACATAATATATTTTTAATTTCTTTTCTTTTAAACCAACCTCATTAATTTTCTAAAACCACCTAAAATTTTTAAATTGCTTAAAATTTTTATATCCTTAAACTCCTAAACCTTAAATCTCTAAATATTATATATCATTGTTAAATAATCACCTCTGGTCACCCTTCTATTATCCGACTCCTACCGGTCGTTGCCCCATTTTCGTACATGATGTTGTCCGAAATAAAATAATTGTAACATATAATACACCCATCATACGAGATAACTTTATTTTAACCCAATCATAGCCCGTTTGTTGTCGTTAATGAGATTATATTGTTGTCCAAGCCTTTCTATTTTGTATATCAATAATAATTATACTCAATTTTGTATAAAATTAATAATATAATGAAAAACAAATGTATTTTTATTCGGTTCAAAATTTTATTTCATATATATTATATATATATATATATATATATATATATATATATATGTTATACTTTAATTATTTGATCATAAAGTTCATATAGACGACATCATTAGGAATTACAAACTTCCTCGTACTCTCCCACTCCTTCTAATATGCATTTAAACGGAAATTAGGCACACATAAATGAGGTTAATTTAACTGCTAAACGGTGGAGGCCTTGGCATACCTTCCACTACACCGCAAGTCATTACGTCGTCGGGCAAGTTGTACTCGTCTCTCACAGAACGATTAGGGGAAAGAAGACTAATATAAAGTTGTTGTCCAAGGTAATGCCTGTCCCATATCTCGGACCTGATGTTCCACATCCCGCAGTTGTCAAGAGATATAAGGATAGCAGCCCATGAATGTGGGAATACCTGAATGGTGTGCCTGCTCACCGCGTCTAGAAGATTGTAGTTCATCCTCTTTTCTGGACTCCATTTCCCTATCTCTACGCTGCAAACAATCATTGTAAAAACAACTCATTATTCATATCAAATGATTATATTAAAAGGTACAGTCTTAGTTAGATTTCCAACGCTTACGCCACAGCGAAGAATGCATAGCCATCGACGTGCCAAGATTGAAGGGCTGTTTCACGATTCTCGAATATAATTTCTACAAAGCTTTTGTGTGTCATGTTGAGGACAATAGATTCTAGAGCTACTTTGGAGATTTCAGCTGGTGGCTCATCTGGAATATTATTATACTTGAAAACCTTGTCAGCAACTCCGTAGTATTCCACAAGTTTCAAAGGAGTGGTTGGCTCCACAAAGGAGACTCCATTAATTGCATATCGAAGCTTTCCATCTACCTTCTCAGCGGTGTTAGCCAGCGTGATGGTACGGGTAATGTTAATGCCACCATATTTGTAGGATCCCTGAGGGTTAGGCCTTGCAGCACTAGCAGTAAGGTTCCAACGAAAGGTGCGGAATTGATTGAGAGACCAAGCCCAACCAATAGGTGGCTTAGGAATGTCAGATGAGGGTCCTCCTTTACCATTCATGTAGCGGATGATGCCCATTGCTGTAGACTCTCGTTTGGTAAAACGAGAAGAGACAACAACATAGTAATCCCTTGGTTCTTTGTCGGCCGTGACGAGCACAGTGTAGCACTGTCCGACATGCACATCAAGCGACTCATAGTCATTCTGAACTGTGTGAGAACCTTCCATCTCAACTAGTTTCATGGTGTGGCCTTGGAACCTGAAGTTGAGAGAAGTCTTTAATCCAGCATTGCAAATCCTATATCTGTAGGTTTTGCCAGCTTCCATGGAGAAGAGAGGTTCGTCTTTACCATCACCTTTTGCCACTTTTCCATTAATGTGGACACCGTCAGCTCTGCCGAGGTTGCGGCCGCTGTCGAGTATTTTCTTGAGTTCGGTGTGTCCTTTGTTAAACCAATCTCCAATCATTAAGGTATAGTCATCAGCTGGAGGGTCGTATGGGACGGGAATCATTGCACGACTATTAATGCGAAGGCCTCCAAAACCACCAACGGCCTTATGCATAGAAGTGACAGGATAGTACATGTAGCTGCCAATCTGATCCTTCACCTGGAAATGATACGTGTAATTTGTCCCGGGGGGGATTGGACAATTAGTTCCCAACACACCATCTTGCCATGAATTCTTCCTCTGTTGGATACCGTGCCTGCAACAAATACCATTTCCAAAAATAACTACCTCAATCATTTATTAGAATAATCAAATAGAAAACTATCCTTTGTTCATGAGTCATAGTTACTTACCATGTTATGAGGAATGGCTCATCAAGATTATTAAATACATTGACCACGACATTGTTGTTTGTGGTAGAGTTTATGTTCGGGCCGGGAAATTCATTATTAATAAGAATACCTTTCACTGGAACTCCCAAAGGAGAAACAGTGCCATACGTAACATGCCATTCGAAAAAAATATAAGGATCTCCACATTCGACCATAAACATCGACCCAACACAAACACATAAAAACATCGATATTAACTTTATCCGATCCATTTCTTACTATGCAATTTATTAGCGTACAACTCTTTATCTCCTACTAATGGAAGATATTGCTTGGGTTGTTTTTAGGTTGCACCTATGACTACCCTTTTATACAATAAATTACCTCTTTCACTATCATTTTCCACCATTCATTGTTTCTCTCCGTATCCGTTCATTACGCTCTTTTTTTGTTTGTTTATGCTCATACCATTTTAGCATAAATAGTGATTTTGTTATGTACCATTTCCACCATTTTTTTTCAATATAAAAATGGTGGTTAAAATGAAGGGGCTATAGTTGGGTGGTCACTGGTATAGTTTACCCTTAATTTAAAATTATGATTTATTTAAAATTACGATTACATTTTTAACTAAAATATAATAATACGATGAGTACCTTATATTTTTAATGTTTTACAATTTCATTTATTGTTCCTCGTCGGTATTAGCACTCGTCGCCGCTTGTCGAGCGCGTAACAATCATCCTATTCTAGTAAACCATGATTATTGAATAAAAGAAGTTAATGTTTCCTTAATATAATTTCCTAATAAAACTCTTGCCATAGTTATCAATATTTATATTAAAAATGTATAAAAATATAACTATTTTCCGCACATAAAATACACAGTCCATACAAGGAATATGCAAATTTCTTGTTATAATAAAAACAGAATGATTCAACTAGAAAAATTCCAAATCAAATTGGTTTGTACTAAAAAGGGCATGGTAATAAACAAAATTTGGGGTCAAAATATACGGATACGGAAGAAAGCAATAAATGGTGGAGAACGTAATAAAATTGGTGAATTTCTTGTATAAAAGGGTAGTCTTAGATGCAATCTAAAACCAACTCAAGCAATATCTTCCTTTATGAGGGAATAAAGAGTTGTTCATCAAAAAATGATATAGGATACATTTTAGTAAGAGATGGCTCGGTTCAAACTAATTTCGTTGTTATTATGTCTTTGGGTTGAAATGATGCGTATCGTTGAAGGTGGAGATCTTTATATTTTTTCGAATGGCATGTTACCTATGGTACTGTTTCTCACTTGGGAGTTCCCGTGAAAATTATTCTTATTGACAATGAATTCACCGGCCCAAATATACACTCTACTACCAACAACAACGTCGTGATCAATATATTTAATAATCTTGACGAGCCATTCCTTATAACAGGGTACGTAACTACGATTCATGTATTAAGGGTAGTTCTCTTTTTTACCATTTGATTACTATAATGAATGATTGAGGTAATTATTTTTGACAATGGGATTTGTTATAGGGACGGTATACAACATAGGAAGAATTCATGGCAGGATGGCATTTCGGGAACTAACTGTCCCATCCCCCCTGACGTTACACTTATCACTTCCAGGTGAAGGATCAAATTGACAGCTACATGTAGTATCCTGTCACTTCTATGCATAAGGTCTTTGATGGTTTTGGAGGCCTTCACATTAACAGCCGTCCAATGATTCCCGTCCCATACGACCCACTGTTGGAAGCGTAGATGGGCTCTTGGTAATTTATAACTCAAACTATTATTGATACGAGGCAAAATACATTACAACGACGTTACCTCAATATTACAACACTAGTTGCGACTAGTTTACAAATACAACCTCGCTATTCAAGTTTTACTAAGTTTTACCCTCTCTCATAACTTTGCTAAGCTATCTTTCATTCTGGCTTTTCTAAGCTTTCATTTTTTTCTCTTTTCTTGTATTACATCTCATACATTTCATATATTTATAATAGTTAATAAACCGTCTACTTTTGCTCTGGATGCTTCTCAATTTCTCTCCATTATTGGAGCCTTAATACTTGCTTGACGTGAATGAATTTGTGTTGCCAATT